GAGACTTTAGATTTGTTGCAAGCAGGCTCCTTGCATGGGCAGGAGGGTGACTCTTCAGCACGGAAGAACGATCCTACTCCAAACCCAGCCCCGATGGAGTCTGTTTCTAATATAAGAGTCTGAGTCAGGCTGTCCTGCTGGGGCTTCCAGGGGCCAGTTCCAGGACTCAGGGTCCCTTTTAAAGGTCTCCCAGCATGAGGTGGCTGGCTCCTCCAAACCGCCTCCCTACTGCTTACCCAGCAGAACCTAGCTCTGTCTGGACTCAGTTTCTCCACCTGAGAAAATGGCTTTCGGCCTTGGGTCCTTGGAGCTTCTCAGGGCAGTAGCCTGGCTGCGAGCTGGGTCTGGGCACTATCCAGGGCACTGTCCAGGTGGGGTCTCCAGTCCTACCCCTCCCCATCTCCTGCCAGCACAAAGCCTCTGGCCGCAAGGCCCCAGGCCACCAAGAGAAGCAGCCACAGCGTGGTTGTCAGGGGCACGAGGCGGGCACCACCCCCATTCTCCTCACAGCTCTCGGAGCAGATGGGCAGGAGGACACCTTCTACCCAGGCAGCCTGCTACCTCCTTTGTGCCTGCCTGGGCAGAGCGCAGGGGGCCCTGCTGCACGGGGAAGGGGTGCGGCAGAGCCTCCTGGGGTTTGCATCTTGGGAAGCAGGAGCGGTTTACTCACCTCCTCTTCTTCTGAGATAGAGACCTGGAGAGAGCAGCTTTCTGGAATGACTTAGGGTTTGGTGCTTGTCCCCACACGGGAGGCGACTCTGGGGTGCACCACCTCACCGTGCTCCTTCCGGGAGGCGCTGCTCCTCTCCAGGCCCCGGGGCCCATCCCTGGGAAGAAGGCTGTTGGATTAGATCCGCAGAGTACCGGTCGTTAAGACTGCAGACCGGGCACTGGACAGCTTTGGTCCACGTCCTGGCTCTGCCCCTCACTAGCTGTGCGACCTTGGGCAGGATATGTAACCTCTCCGTGTCTTAGTTTCCCCCTCTGTAAAATGGGGAATCGAGTCTGCCTTGCGGGTTTGTTGTGAGGAATTAAATGAGTTAATGTATCTGAAGACTTGGAAGAGTGTCTGGCACGTAGCAAGAGCTCTGTGAGGGTTAATATTGTTGCTGTTATGATTTTATTTCGGTTGTTAGGTGCCCTTAGAGGCCCTGTCCAGCTTTGATCTTCTGTGAGGGTCTACACGGCCCCAGTAGACTGGCGCCTGTTGTGGCCTAAGCCCTCCGGCAAACTGGACAGCCCCCCAGCCTCTCTTCCCCCGGGGTCCCAAGGACCCTCTTCTGCAGCCCTGGGGCCAGCTGGGCCTGCTGGGCTAGGCCCTTCCGGATTAGGGGATTGACTCCTGACTCAGGTTTCTCTGTTACCGAACGCCGGCTTTGCGAGCACGAAATTGCCCTTGGGGTCTCGTAGGTCTCCATTCCTACAAGGCCCCATGGGATTCATCGCACCGCTGGTGGGGTGACAAAGACCTGGACCCAGGCTGACCCGTGGGCCAGACAGGCTCCTGGGGACAGACTGGAAGGCAGCCCGATGGCGGCCAGTGGGTACTGGAGTGACGCACAGGAAGGGGATTGTCTGCCCCGCCAGCCCTTGCAGCCCCATCTTCCTGGTAACAACCGCGCTGAGAGTGGAGTCCGATGCCCCAGCCCCAGGCCCAGAAAAGAGCCCAAATCCCTGCAGCCATCTCCCCGGGCCAGCACGTGGCCTTCTACCTTCCATGGGAGTCCAGCTCTGTCGGTGGCATTGTGTGGGTGTACGTGTGTGTGTTTGCATGTCTTTGGTTAGAACCCTGCTCTCCCAACCCATCTTCCTGGACCCCAGTGGAAGCAAGAGAAGACACTGTCCAGTGGCTCACTCCTCCGGGGCAGAACCATTTTTACACCAAGACATAGAGGCAACGGCAGCCTGCGGGTGAATTCAAACTCTCTCTCGAGTCACACGGAATGACCTGGCTGTTCCAGTCCACAGGGCCTCGCCCACTCAGCAGTTCACGGGACTGTGGGATGTTGAAGTTGGCCAGGACCTCAGAGAGCATCTCATCCAGCTCATGCCATGTCCCCATGAGGGCCCCAGGAGGGAGGCCTTTACGGGGTCTCAACCTCTTGGTTCCTGCCATGTAGCGAATTCCCCTCTTGTGGGGACAAGAGAGCGTTAATAAATCTGACCATTCCCCACCCCAAAGTTGCCGAGCCCTTTCCGTAAGGCACTGAGGAAGAATGAACCAAGCTCGCAAATCCCCTGCCCAGGCTCCTTTGACACGGGCATCCCCCGAGTCAGGGACCGTGAGGTTTTGTTTCTTTATCTCCCAAAGGCAAAGTCTATTAGGAGGTATAAGGTTATAGCACGGGAAGTGGGGTGGACGCCTGGGCATGTGGACATAGCTAAATATTCTTAGACACTGTCTCTGGTAGAGGATAAAGAGGGAGGGTGAGAAAAACCATTTGACCCATCTTAATTCCTTGGAGTCCTGAAATTTCCATCTTGTTGCAATGAGAGGGATCCAAGTGTGATGCAGTGCAGAGACGAGAGGCCGCCCTGTGTAAGCTGCTCTTCAAACACGAGAAACAGCAGCCAGGGGGTCGTGGACACCCTGAGCCATGGCTCTGTTGGCTGCCCTGGCCTCAGGAAAGCGCTCACCAGCCACCTGGGGTGGGCGGAGGTGAACAATAAAGGCCCCTAACATGCTGTTGGGCCATGTCTCAGCCTCCTCATTCCCGCTCCTGGGATGCAGCACTGTGGCTCAGGAGGTCCCTGGAGCCCAGGCCCACGTGGCAAAGAACACCTTGGGGTTATTGGATCGCCCTCCTGGGAGCTGAGCGTCTGCCTCTCATTTCCTCCTTCAATGCCTTCTCCCTGCAGCCAGAACGAGGGTTTTTTGTTTTGAGACAGGTCTTACTCTGCCGCCCTGGCTGGAGTACAGTGGTGCAATCACAGCTCACTGTAACCTCGAACTCCTAGCTCAAGCGATCCTCCTGCCTCAGCCCCCCATGTAACTGGGCCTACAGGCACACTACCATGCTGAACTAATTTTTAAACATTTTTTGTAGAGATGGGGTCTTACTCTGTTGTCCAGGTTGGTCTCAAACTCCTGGCCTCAAGCAATCCTTCTACCTTGGCCTCCCAAAGCGCTGGGATTATAGCCATGAGCCACCATTCCCAGCCCAGCATGAGTTTTTTAAAAATGCAAATTGGATCCAGTCACTCCTTCAGCTTAAACAAACCTCAACAGCCCTTACAAAGAGATCAGAACTCTTCTATGGCCTGCAAAGCCCACCTGTCCAAACTCTCCCACACAGCTCCTTCCCTCACTTTCTAAGCCGTGGCTCCTTTGGAGCCGGCATCACAGTGTGTAACCGGATATTTAACGTCTGTCTGCCTCACCAGACTGCAAGCTTCCCGAGGGGAGGGCCCTGCCATTGCCTGCCTTTGTGCTCCAGGGCTTAACACAGTGCCAGGGCCAGGGCCCAACACAGGGTAGGTGTTCAACACATATTTGTTGAATAAGTGAAAGATCGGTCTCTGGCACTCAGGACCGCACAGGGAGGGCACACAAACGCGCACACACACACACACACTCGAGCCGAAGAGGTCAAACCCCTTCCGTCTCAGAGCGCATACAGAGGCAGCTCCTGCAGAACTGGCGAGGTGCTGATGAGTCCGTGCAAATGTTCAGTGTCCTCCCCTTGAAGGAGACATTAGCCCCATTTCCTTCTACTTCACCCGAATCCTCGATCAAGCCTTGCTTGTTGGTGGCAACAGACCAGATTTCTGTCCTTAGGGAGAGAGCAGGTGGCTCTTCCAAAGCAGACCAGGTGGCCTTATCTCCTGGGCCTCACCTGCCCCCACTCTCCGTAAGAAAATCTGTTACCAGCCATCCTATCTCCAGTTTCCATCTTCCATCCACGCGTCCTCGAACACCCAACCACCTGTCCTGCCAACGGCAGTCCCCACCCCAGCTGCTCGGGTCCCCTGTTCTGTCCCTCGAGAAGCTCCTGAGCAAGCCCACCTCCTCCAGAAGCCCTCCTGGCTGCCCAGTTCCCAGGGTCTTCTCCTTCCTGGCTGCTCTCAGCGGAGTCTAGGTCTGTGGCTAGTGCCTGAAATTTGTTGCCTGTTTGATACCACTTTGAGGTGTGATTCCCAAGAGGGCAGCAGCTTTATGTATCTGCGGGACTTATGGTCTCACAGGTCTCAAGGGACCAGCTTAGCAGAAAATGTAAGGCTTTGGATGGTGAAAAGGCCGGTGCTGAAAGGGGGCATATAAATGAGGCATCAGGGAACAAACTCGCCTGAGGCCAATCTGGTTGAGAGATTAAAGCTCTGCAAAATGAGGAGTTGGATGGGCTGATGTCACAGGGCCCTTCCATCTCTGACCGCCGAGGCTAGGGTGTTAGTCCTGGGGGACCCTGCCCTGCCAAGCCCGGGCTGGAGGAGGAGGGAGGCGGGGTGAGTGGGAGGGGCGGAGGGAGTCAAGCGCCCGCTGACACCTGCTCCAGCCCTGCTGTCCACCGCAGTCCACCCAGAGCCTCTGGCAGCAAGCAGCAGCTGGACGCAGGAAGGAGGGAGCAGACAGGAGGCAGGAGGCCGGCTGCGTGCCCAGGTAAGTGGGTGCTGCACACCTGGCCGTCCACCAGACCAGGGTGGGGCCGAGATGGAGACACTGACTGCTCTCCAGCGTTCCCACTCAGGAAGGGGCGGCAGCGGGCGTGAGATCAGCCTGGGGAGCACACCCGGCTGGGTGATGTCACACTGGGGTGCATCTAGGTCCCCTCTAGATGACTCCAGGGATTTGGAGGAGAGAATTTCAGTGAATCTTGTCTGGATGGTTCTGTCTTGGCTCTGATTTTCTGGGCACTGCTTGACTTAGAGTGTGATACGGTGACCAGATTAAAAATATCACCAGCAGTCCAGAATAAGGACCTCAGGGCTGGGACTTGTTGTATCTCGGCTAAGAACATGGTCAGAGCAGTTGAGAGGAACCCCATTTGGCTTTTCGTGCTTCCATGCCTGCCAGTAAGAAGCTGGAGGTAGCAGGGACCTGGATCCGCAGGATGGAGCCGCAGGTGGGGGCCGAGGGCTGGGGGCGTGAGTCCTGGAGAGGCGGAGGGGGGGGGGATACTGCCCTGGGGTCTAGGGCTGAGTCTTGTCGGGAGAGCTGAGTGAGGACACAGGCTGCCATGTGGTGCTGGGAAGAATTGGGATTCTTCCCAAATGTGGGAATGCATCACGGAGGAGAGAATCCGTTTCCTCCCCCATGCCCTGCAGTTGAGACCACATCTCTCTAGTCTCCAACCAAACAGGTCCTTACCCATTTGTCATTGACCTTGCACCAAATCTGGCTTATTTCCAAAGAGGATGGAGGTCCAGGGGGTGAGATGGTTTCACATTGGACCCTAAGTTCCCTGAAGGGTTCTGCTTCCCTCTCCGTCCTCAGCTGGGACCTGGGGGCAGGGGGCTGGAGGGAGAAGAGTGGCGCCAGCGTTCTATTTCTTTGCGTGTGACGGATAGTTGAGTAATTGACTGATAGCTGGTGGTGCCGATGATGGGGACAATGACGAAGACGACGGCTGAGATAGCTGTGTTCGACTCAAACTACTCCAGTGTGGGGGTCGCAGACGGGTGCATGCGCTTGCCTCTACCAGGGGATTGTAGTGGGGAGTGGGTGGGACAGAGGTCTCGGCAGCCCCCCTCCACCACGGCCAGCTGTGTCCTCCTCCATTGATGGCTGACTTCCCTCTCCTCCCTCCCACATGATCCCTGAGGCATAGCGGCTGTGACGCGGTGACCGCTCCAGAACGCGGCTGGCGCACCGCGGCATTCTGGCGCGCCGGGGTGCAGGGGCTGGGCTGCAGAGGGGATGCGGGGCCAGAAGTGCCAGTGGGGGGCAGTTGCGAAAGGGAAGAGTCTCGGTGGGAGGGAGGAATTTGCTCTGTCATGTGTGATTCTCTATTAATAACAGGGCTCTTTGGGCAGGAAGTGGCGTCCCCAAAATGGAACCGCCTGGCTATGCGCCAGTCACACAGGAGGTGGGATTGCTGGAGAATTCCTTCAAGACCACCTGCCCCCCAATTTATGGCTCTCATCCCATCTCAGAGCCAACCCCCCACCCCCGTGTGGGATTTCCCGTCGGTCCTGGCAGATGGATGCCTTTGAGAGGGAACCCTGGGGAGACGGTGGCGGTGGTTGGGAGGGCTGGAAAGCACTCGTGTTCACCTGACACGATAACTCACCGGCTCCGAAGGGGAGCGGATGGATTTATGGGGATCCCACTGGCCTGGGCGGAGAAGAGATTAAGAGCAGCCAAGTCGAGGACTCTCCCTGCAGACCTCGTGATCTGAAGGATTCCAGACTGGGGAGCGTGGGAGGTGGAGGGACGCTGGGCGCTGCCAGGAGGTCCCAGAGTTGGGGGAGGAGCCAGGAGGCCCAGAGAACGTCCCTGGAGAATTCACATTCCAAAGTCAAGGGGGCAAGGCTGTTAAACAGCGGGAGAATCCGACGGAGTGTGATTTCCTCTGGTTTGGGAAGGCCGTGTCTCCCCCTCCGAGTGGCCGTCAGGCCAAGGGTCGTGCCGGGAGGCCGGACCAGCAGCAGAGTGGGCAGGCTCAGCCTCACGGCTCCCTTCACCTGGGAACGGTACCAGCTGCGTAGCATCCTACCGCCTCCCTGGTCTCTGGGAAATTGGTTTTGCTGGGGCCAGGGAATTGCGGGAAACCAACCAGTGCCATTAATGGGGTCAGACAATCTCCTGGGGGCAGCAGCTTCTCCCAGCTCCCACCCCAGATAGCAGCTGGTGCACGAGGGTGTGGGAGGGGTGGGCTGAGACCAGCCTGGACCCCACATGAGCAATTCTGTCTTCTGTTCTCAGGAGATCCGTTTCTACCCTCGGAGGAGCCAAAGAGGAGGTAGAACTATGGCAGGTGAGAGAAGAACCATCCTCCCCACCTTCCCCAGGGTGGAGAGGAAGGAAGGGTCAAAGATTTGGGGGAACTTAGCTGTCTCTGTTTTTTCTAAGGTTTGGCTTTGGGTTTCGATTGTTTTCCCCAGTACGAGGTGTAAAGCCCCCACATGGGCTCCTGCTTCCTGAGGAGGAGCCCTCCCCCCTCTTCCCTCCCCAGCTTTTCCCCAGTGGCGTGCTCACGGTCTTCCTGGGGTGCCCCCTCCCCACTTCACAGGGGCTCCATTTACACTGTGGGAGGCCACAGCCAGAGTCCCACTAGAAAATTCAAAAGCAACATCCACGGGCAGGAGGTAGGACGGGCAACCCTGCCCAGCAGTCAGACAGAGAAGGGGGCTTGCTCCTTGGGTGACGGGGTGAATGCTCTGTTCTACTGAAGCGCCGCCCAAGAGGGAGAAGGGGAAGGGCCCATCTCCCTCTCTCCCGCCTTCTCCAGAGAAGCCCTGGAGGAAGTCCTCGCTCCCTGGGGTGAAAGTCCGGCAGCTGGTGGATGAGGTCCCCGAGGGCGGCCGCACGCCGGACTTCGAGCAGAAGCCTGTCACCTTGGCCCTGCAGGAGGGTGAGCGCCCGGAGGGGAGCTGCCGCGGGGAGGCGCGATTCCTGCTCTCTGGACAGGGTGTGGGCGCCTGTCCCTCCGTCCATCACCAGGCCTTGTCGTGTCTCCCTCCTGTGCTTGGGTGGTGCCACCTGCCTGGATCCCTTGCAAGGACAAGGGGCCCGGGGAGAGAAGGGGTAAAGGCAGTGGGGAGATGCCATGTTCTGCCCATGTGAGGAGTGTCTGGGGACAAGGCTGGGGACATGCTGAACTGGGGAGCGGGCAGGGCCTGAGGTGTGTCCTAGTCCCTGTCTCCCCTCTCCCGGCCTCGAAGCCGCTGCAGAGGGGCCCTGTTAGAACCGGTTAATCCTGACTCCTCCCAAGCCCTGCCTCCGGGCAGCCCACCCCTGTGGCTCGCAGACTGGGCTCGGGAAGGCCATTCTAGAAGGCCGAGGGAGAAAAATGCTCAGAACGTGGTGGGAACAAAGGCTTGCTGGGAAAGGGCTGGGAATCGGCGCTCTCTCCCCAGCACGGGTCCCTGCCGGGAATTTTAGTGCACAACGTTGGGGCACTTTATTTTTCTAAATCTGGAACAAGGTCATGAGAAATTGGGGAGGGTCCTTGGGCTTTCAGTCCGTACAGCTCTCCGCTGAGATGTTCCTGGTGGGAGGCTGAGGGCTGCTGCAGGGCGACAGCTCCCAGGCCCCCAGGCTGGAGCCCTGCGTCTCAGGACCAGCTCCTCTGAGCACCAGACAGCCCTTCCTTTCCCGGTTGTCATTCCTCTTTCCCCTAAGAGTAGACATGGAACCCACACAATCTCATCCCCTTCCCAGTCTTGGGAGAATCCTTCGGACTCCTCGGCCACCCACTCTCAGAGAAACGCCCCCCTCCCACCCAAGCCCTGCTGGGCTCCCTTTTTCACTAGGGACAGTCCAGCTGCACCTGTCTGTCACGGAGCCCGGGCTTCCGCAATACAACGGCAGGCAGGGGCTTTCTTCTGGGTGCCTGGGGTCGGCTGCTTTCCACCTGACCTTATGAGAGTCCTGAGTCAAGGGGACCAAGGCCTGGCACCCTTCTTGGCACGGGCAGTTGAAATACCTAGAGCAGGGGGATGACATGCATTAGAACCTCCCCCAACTTTTCAGTCTCCCCATCTGCCTCTTCCTGCCGCAGGGAGAAATGCTATCTTCCGGGCTGTGGTCTGCGGGGAGCCCAGGCCCGAGGTGCGTTGGCAGAGCACCAAAGGTGACCTCAGTAACTCCAGCAAGTACCAGATCTCCTCCGCCCCCGGCAGCAAGGAGCACGTGCTGCAGGTAAGAACCGTAGCTCTTCCCTCGACCAGGGTCCACCCATCTCCTCCCGTCCCTTTGAAAGTCTCCTTGGCGGCCTCCAATCCCCCAAGGGGTAAGAGATGCTCCCAGTTGAAGCTGAGTCCATTCAACTCCACCCCTTGGCTCAAGATTGCCTGAGCCAGGAGCGGCTCCAGCAGGCTCGCAGACACCTCTGCCCACAACCTGGCAGGTGGTGTAGACTGCAGCTTGAGAGCTTGAGCTCTGGAGTCACGCTGCCCGGGTTACAGTCCTAGGCCCACCACCTTTGGAGTTACTTCCCTCTTTCTACCTCTGTTTCCCCATCTGTAAAATGGGGTAATACTAGTACCTACATTAAGGAGTTTTTATGAGGATTAAAGGTTTAATGAGTCCTGGTTACTATTAGTGATATCCCACATACCAACCATGGAACGCCTACCGTGTGCCAGGCCCTGGCCCAAACATCCGACATAGATTATATGATTTAATCCTGACCATTCACTACCTTTTTTTTTTTGAGACAGAGTCTCACTCTTTTTGCTTGGGCTAGAGTGAGTGCCGTGGCGTCATCCTAGCTCACAGCAACCTCAAACTCCTGGGCTCAAGCGATGCTTCTGCCTCAGCTTCCCGAGTAGCTGGGACTGCAGGCATGCGCCACCATGCCCGGTTTTTTCTATGTATTTTTAGTTGTCCGATTAATTTCTTTCTATTTTTAGTAGAGACGGGGTCTCGCTCTTGCTCATTCACTACTTTTTGAGGTATTATTATCCCCACCCTACAAGTGAGGAAACAAAGTTTAGAGAGGTTAGGTAACGCGCCCAAGGTCCCACATCTAGCAACGCGTGACAGGGATGGTTTTCAGTCCCCGATCCATCTGCGCCCTAGCAGCGAGCTCTTCCTGCTACATCATGCTGCCTCAGATGGCAACGCGCGGGTGCACCCACCCTCTGTCCGGACCCAGGCTTTTGTTTTGGGGTCTGTCTTTTCCGATAAAGACCACGAGCTCCATGAGGACAAGGACCGTGTCCTGCCCGCCTTACACCCCGGCACATAGCTGTGTCTAGAAAACGGAGCAAGGGGACACGCTAGCCCTGTTCCCCCGCCCGTGGCCTCTCTGCAGATCAACAAGCTGACAGGCGAGGACACGGACCTGTACCGCTGCACGGCGGTGAACGTGTACGGAGAGGCCGTGTGCTCAGCGAGACTCACCGTCATCGAAGGTGGGCTTCCCCCCCGCCTGCCTCATCGGTGCCGCGCGTGGCTTCGCCCCTAAGAGCCCTCAGAGGAATCAGAAGCCCTGTGGCTGGGGCGGCAGCGGAGGAGGGGAGGAAAGGGAGGCCCACCAAGGCTGCCGCCGGCCCACCTTGCGCCAGGCCCTCGCTCGGCCTTCAGCCAGTGACACACCAGATCTATGTGCGACTAAAAAGGCACAGCTCAGCAGCCGCCCTGCTGCAGACGCTCTGAAGGACGTCCTCTCTGCCCAGGGGAATGAGGTCAGGACCTGGAGTCCACCAACTCATCCGGTGGGCTTTGCTCTGCTCTCTGAGCCTGAGTTTCCCCACTGTGCAAAGGATGTTTTATACAGGCCTATGTCAGAGGTGACAGGTAACACAAGGGCCAAGTCCTCTCTCAGACAAGTTCAGTTTGATTTTCACAGTGTTGGAAATTTTAAAAATTAATCGTCGACCCGCGATAATGGAAGGTGGCTGTCTCTCAAGGAAGCAGATCTAGCGTCTCAGCTGGTCATGCTTACAGCCGGCTTGCCCGCAAGTACCAGAAAATCCTGCCAAGAGTCGCCCAAGAAATAAAGATACTTAATGACTTCACGTAATGAGATGGTGTCCAGGGCTCATGCCGCAGCTGAGGGCTGTCATCAGAGAGCTGGGTTCTTTCTGTGTCACTGCTCTGCCGTCCCTGGCAGGCTGTTTGTCACCTCCCGGTCACGGGATGGCTGCGGCAGATCCAAACCCAATCCGTGTGCAAGAGGGCCCGGGTCCGTCCGCCCCGCTTGTCAAGGAAGCCAACGCTCCCTCAGAAATGCCGGAGCGCACCAGTCAGAGCCGGGTCACGTGGCCACTGCTGGGGGCAAGGGTGGCTGGGAGGCAAGTATGTGGCTTTCCCAGCCTCTCTGGGGGAGCAGGGAGGAAGAAGAGGATGTGAAAGGCTGCAGGGTCAGCCAAGCAGCAGGTCTGGCATGTTTGGCAATGCTGGGGGCCTGTGCCGCGCCAGGGCGGGTCCCAGCTTGGTGAAAGAGCAGCTGCCCCTTAAATGCAGTTTGTTGTGGGTGTCAGTGTCCACTTCGCTCAGTTATGCCCCCTCTCTGGCCCCTGTGGACATGGGACTGGGCCTCCCCTGCATGCAGTGATGTTCAGGTTGCTTCCCATGGTCATGGTGGGCTCCGGGGCTTCAGAGCTTATGACAGACAGACCGTCCACCCGGCTCCATTCTGCTGGCGGGGACAGTCCACGCCTCAGAGGATAGCGGGGAAGGGCTCTGGGACTTTGTCGGTTTCTCAGGAATATCTTCACTGTGTCTTGCCTCTCTCCTGCCTACCCACATCAACTCCTTTCTCTCCTCCCTGGACGATCCAGTTGGCTTCCGGAAGAAACGGAAGAGGCAACAGGAACCCCAGGAGGGTAGGTGGATTTGTCAGAAACCTCCCTGGGGCCTTTGGGGGATACGCTACTCCTTGTCCGGTGTTCCCCACCTGGTCACACCTCCACACACCTGTGGGTCATCGCCGGTGTGTAGGAGGCCCCTCTCAAAGGCTCAGGGGGCAGCGTGGCCCACACAGAAGAGCCCCAGAAGGCCCACTGGGACTGGGCCTCATTCCTGCTCCTTTTCCAGACCTCAGGAAGGAGCTGATGGACTTCCGGAAGTTGCTGAAGAAGAGGTCGGTCTGGGTCTGTCCATGGGGATTTTGGAGGCTCCCACGGTACCCCCCCCCCGCTATCTCCATGAGCAAGCGGGCTGAGCCCCGCCTCCACCCAATGCGGCAGGGAGGAGACTGCCCATAGCAGATGGGAGGGTGGGAAGAGCCCGGAACCTGTCCTTCTAGATCCAGCTCTGCCACTTCGACGCTCGTATCCTTGAGTTAATCGTCTCCTCTCTGGGTCCTGATTTCCTCATTTGCAAAATGGGGTGGTCCACTAGAACAATGATTTAAAACTTTTTTAAAGCAAAAGAACAATTCAACCCCACCCCTCCTTCCCCCGGACATCTTGTGCAGAAATCTACAATACGAGACATTAGCAGCAGAGTTTCTCCTGGAAGCCGGAGCTGCGGGGCGAGGCTCACCCCACCAACCTCTGGGTCCTTCTAGTCCCAGAGAGTCCAGGCTCTGGGTCTGTTTTCTCAAGTACACACAGAGCAACTTCCCAGGACTTTTCAGGGAGCCAGAGCCAGGTGGCCAACACTTGGGGCTCCTCTGGCCTCTGACCTGCTGGCCCTGCCCCCCAGGCCCCCACCAGCCCCTGAGAAAAAGGTGGACCTGGAGCAGGTGTGGCAGCTGCTGATGACAGCAGACCGGAAGGACTACGAGAAGATTTGCATGAAGTACGGCATCGTCGACTTCCGGGGCATGCTGCGCAAGCTGCAGGAGATGAAGAAGGAGCAGGAGAATAAGATGGCAAAGGTACTCTCACCCCCCCGCCCCCCCCAGACACCTGGAGCAAGACGCCGCACATCTGGAGGTGCCTGGAGGCAGGCCTCGGGAAATCAGGCATGGCCAGGGCCCATCTCCGTCCAGTCCCCCGTAGGGCATCTGGCTAAGAACCTGGGCTTCCAGGTTGGCGTCCTGGCTTTGAAACCCGGTTCTGAGAACTTACTAAACTCTGGGGCTTTGGAAAAGTTAGGGCCTCTGTGTCTTGGTTTCTTTGTCTGTAAACTGGGGATTATATTAATACTTACAGCTACTTTGTAGGGTTATTGGGAGGATGAATGAGAGAAGGTACTTAAAGCACTTAGCGTAGTGCCTGACACGTGGTAAGGGCTTGACGTCAGCCGTCATGCTCATCATCACCAGATGTAGGAGCCTGTCTGACCTCTGAAGCCTTCCAAGAAAGGGATTTGCACCATTCCAGAGTCTTATAAACTACACAGGAACTTCTTTCCTGTGTCTAACTTAACTGGAGCGTAAGTCGAACGTTTCTTCTAGAAATGGAAAACAACTAGTTTTCATTATCCTGAAAATAGTGTTTTATTACATCGAAGGTGGTTCCCCAAACCTCTCACCTGGGGCCTCGGCTTTCCCTTCCCCAGGCTTTCTCATCTGCTTTATCACAGAGTTTTACACACAGTAGGTGCTCAACTAATGTTTATTAGATGGAAGAGCGGATGAATGGAATAGCTCTACTGTGTTCTTGGAGCACCTGGACGCTTTTCTTGGTCGCCTTCCTGAACTGATCTCTCATTCTGGACTATTTCCATCCCCCAGGGGCTGACTTCTCCCCACTGTACAATGGCAGTGCGTGCTCACGGGGACACTGTGGGCCTGGCACGGTACCAGGGCCTGTGAGGGTTTGGAGTGCCCGGGAGAGAGAGCTCCAAGCACTCCCCCGGTGGGTTTGTCTGTCCTTTAGTACATCAACGCCATCTCCAATTTGAGACACATCAGGGTCACCAAGGAGGGGGTCGCGACCTTTGCCCTGGAGCTGGATCTCAAGGACTCTGAGAGCAAGATTTACTTGTACAAGGTGAGGCTGGAGGGGCCTTGAGTGGGGGGATCGGGCAGGGATGCTGCAGGTCCTGGGGGCGGGGGACCAGAGCACACAGGTCGCGGAGTTACTGGTTAGATTCAGGTGGAACCCTGTTGTCCACAGTCCGCGGGGACCTTTTACCCCGCATTGAGCAATCGGGCCCCCAGCTGGGGCTAACGCCAGGGCATAGGGGTAAAAAAAGGGGTTCTGAGAAAGTGCACCCCCTTCTATCTGAGCTCTCTCTCCAGAGACTTGACACATCCCTGCATGGGCTCCAGGTGGGGACAGGGACAGATCTTGGGGGTGGGGAGGAAGGGCAGGGAGCAGCAAAGCTTACAATTAGTTCTGTAGCCAAACACAAGCTGTGTGACTTCAGACAAGATACTTACCTTCCCGTGCCTCAGTTTCCTCATTTGTGACCTGTCTCACTGTGTACTGAAATGCTACATGAGAGAATGCACGATTCACCCCTCCCCTCACCTCTGCTCACTCCTGCTGCTCTTCCCCCTGCCATGCGGACCTCGTCCCTGGTCCTTTGCTCCAGCTGTCCCCTCTGCCTGGCGTGCTCTTCCCGCACCCACAGGCTAATTCCCTACGGCAGCGAGGCTCTCCCTGACCACCGTGTGAAGCCGCTGCGTCCTCAGCCCCACCCTGGCACTCCTGAACCCCATACCCCGCTCTCCCTCTCCCCCCCAGTTCTATTTCTTGCTAACATAAATTATTTACTTATTTATGCTGTTTGTCTCCCCCATAGAATTTTAGCTCCTGAGGGCAGAAATCTTGGCTTTGCCCATTGATGTGTCCCAAGTACCTAAAACGGTGCCTGGCACACAGTGGGCACCTAATAAGTGTTGGCTCTCGTTCCTCCTCAGCAAGCAGCACATCTATCCGGGGCTTAGTTAAAGTGGGTGTATGTAGACTGCCGGTGTGTAGAGCCTTAAAGATGGCTGATGGCACTTTTGGAAAGTTCCCCTCGCTGAATAAATGCGCTGGGGCCGGGGACCCTGGGCACTGGTTTTGCCCCCTGCCCCCCTTGCCAAAGTCGCAGGGCGGCTGGGTACTAACTCTACTCGCAGCCTGAGCTGGAATCTGCACTCTGAGGTGCCTCTTTGCATACCACTTGCAGGTTTTTCCTAAGAGTCACGGACGTTCTGGAGCATGTATCCCTCTCAATCCCAGCTGCCCGCTGTCCCCATCCCCTCACCTTTACTGCTCCAGGAATACATTGTCCAGTGCCTGGGCCGGTGGGGGGACTGCTGGTCGTAGTTGTGTGGGATTGGGGCAGGAAGCACTGGGACCCGCAGAGGCCCTGAGCCGCCCCCTCTTCCTTTTTCTGGTCTCAGGATGGTGAGATGGTCCCCTATGGCTTCGACAACCTGACCAAGCACTATCTGCGCCGGCTGGGGAAGCGCTACCACTTCCAGATCCAGGACCTGAGGCTCGAGGACTCTGGCATTTACCAGGTCAAGGTGGAGGATACCGTAGTCTTCTCCACGGAACTGGAGGCCAGTGGTGAGTGGTCGTCATGCGGAAGCTGGAGTGTGGGAGATGCTAGGAGCGGGGCCCGTGCCGGTGCAGCGTGTGTGGGTAGAGGTGACTCGGCTCCCTGCTGCAAAGACAACAGGGAGAGGCTGCACACCCGGCTGGTTACGATGGGCTTTGTTTTCCAAAAGCCGAGTTCTGTCTTCTCGCTGGGCTCTGCCGAGTTACAGTCACGGACGTAGGACATTCGTGTCATGCCCGTGATCACAGACCTGCAGCAACTGCTTATTTTCAGATCAGATCCAAACTCACTGCACGGCCTCCAGCCACCACCTCGCCCCTCTCTGCCGCATGTCCTGGTCTCCCGCAACTCCCTGGCAAGAATCTCTGCCCGGGTTAGGCACACTCGTGCCCTGTACAGACCTTTCCTTTCCTGCTCCCGGGCCCCCTCCCGCTCTGGGAACCGCCCTTCCTTCCCCATCAAACTCTGTCTCGTACCCCCAGAACACCTGACAGCTCGAGGGGGTTCTTGGAAGGACAAGGGAGGCCTGGGGGAAGGAAGTTTGGGGCAGAGATGTCATAAAGAGCAAGACTGAGTCGCGGTTGAGGGAGAGAGAAGAGGGTGATGCGTCCCAGCAGGCCTGGGTTCCTGGATGGGCTTTGAAACCCTGAAGCAGCGTGGCGTGGGGAAGGGAGCATGGCCTGGGGGGCAGCCAGGCTTGGGTGTGAATCCTGATGCCTCCTACCTTAGTAGGACTAGGGCAAATCATTTAACTTCTTAAGATTCACAGTTTCCTCCCCTGTAAAAAGGAAGTAATAACACCTGCCTCGGGATGACCAGATGACACAGCGCATGCACAAAGCACTGGCTCTCAGCTCTCAGGTTTCCTTCCTGTACCCACCTACCCCCAGATGTACCTTCTGGGTTTAGAATGACAAAGTCCCAGAGCTGAACATGGCCTCGTTGATCGTAACCTAATTTTCCCCCTTCATTTTATGTGGGGGGGACAGACACCTGGGCAAGGAGGTGGCCCGTCCAAGGAGACCCAGGCTGAGCCCCCAGCCCCACCGCCTCAGGTCCCACTGCGTCACGCTATCACGCTGACACCCGCATTCCCGCTTCCCCGCAGCCATCCCCGCCAGAGTGGTGGTCCCGCTGGCCGAGACTCGCTGCGAGGAGCACGCTGACGCGGTCTTTGAATGCACCCTCTCCAACCCCTGCCCCAGTGCTGCCTGGCAATTCCGGCACCGGCCGCTCCAGCCCAGTGACAAATACGAAGTGTCTGTGTCCCCCGACGGGCTGACCCACCGGCTAGTGGTGAGGGGGGCCCGTTTCTCAGACATGGGCCTCTACTCGCTGGGCACCGGGTTCCATGCCTCCAGCGCCTGGCTGGTGGTGGAAGGTGAGTAGTTCGCACCTCTGTCTTTTCTGCCTCCGCCAAGGCAGCCCCCAGGGCCAGGGAGGCATGAGGAAGGCCGGGAGAATGGGGCTGGCTCCGTTCGGTCGCTTGCTTTGGAACGACGCCGTCACTTTGAGAGGATGCGGAGGGCTGCTCAGATTTACTCTCGATCCACTGCAGCGCAGACCCCGCGGCCAGCCCGGCCTCCCCTGCCGCCTCTGCTTCACTGGGCCTCTTGGACTCCTCCGGGGCACAGACCTAAGCTGGCCCTAAGGTCCTGGACAGCCTAGGATCAGTGGCCCAGGCTCAGTGTGGAGGAGAAGCCCCTGGGCCAGGCCAGGGAGCCCCCCTTAAGCCCCCAGTGGGGATTGGGATTTGGGTTCCAGATGTTCCCAGGACGCTGTAATTGGACACAGCAAGGCAGGTGATAGGGCAAGTTGAGCTGTTTAAAACCACGTGCCCGCTGTGGCAGATTGATAAGCAAATGGCTTTTTCTTACGTATTTTCTCCCAACTCCTCGTGAACCAGGTAGCAGGGGGCCTGTGAGTACAGGATTGGGGAGGCAGTGGTGGATTTTTCCATCCGTGTGCAGGAACATCCTGGCTTCCTTCCTGGGTGGTCGGGGTGCTTCTCCACGGGGGAGGTGGGGCCAGGCAGGTGCTTTGGCCTGACTTAACAGGAGTTTTGATCTTTTCTCTTATCTCTCTATGGGGCACTGACCTCCCACGTAAATAATAATGCCTCACTGAAGCTGGGAAGGACAAAGAACTCCAGACCACCTGTGCGGACAGCCAGCTGCAAGGGCGAGGGGCCCCGGCCTGGGAAGCAGAAGACTCTGGGACCATCGGTAGCCAGGGAGGGAAGCCCATAGAGCAGGACCCCATGAGGGGCTTCCATGAGGGGGCTGAGCTGGAGTCTGGGCTCCAGCGGATCTCCAGCCCCGACAGGGCTGGCCTTGGCAGGCACGGATACTCTTTGATGGAGGATGAAGGGGCAGCTCGCTCAGATTGGGGCCCTGGGCAGGAAAGAAAGGGCTTTCTAGAAGCAGAGGGAGACAGAGTCACTCCTGGGGAAAATCAGCCCCATAGACAGGGAGGTTGGGCCGGAAGCCTTCAAGGGAGGCCCCATCTGCAGGGAGAGGGCCCAGAGTCAGGGTTGGGCTTCATGGGAAAACAACAGCAAGATCATGGCAGAGACATCAATGGGGACACATGCTGGGGGACAGCAGGAGGCTGGGAGGCTGGGTCCCGTGGCCCTCAGGATGGAGGACCGGGGAGCGGCTGGGAAGGAAAGGAGGTCAGAGAAGACAGTAGAGGTCAACGGGATAGGCACATCCAGGAGCGACTCTGGGATGCTGAACTGGGACCTGGGATAGGAAAGAGGGCCCTTCAGGAATCCCAGTCCGGTCCTGCGGGGTCCTGGCCAAGAGGGGAGGAGATAGAGACAATTTTGCAGGGTGACAGCCTGGACGAGATGGAGGGAGGGGACGGTCTGAGTATGGAAAGGGGGAGCGGAGCGGCAAGGGTAGCATCGAGCAGTGGGACTGGCCCTGGGGCAGCTGCAAACAGCGATGGAGCAGGAGGTCCTGGCACCCGGGAGTTTCCTGGAGGAAGAAGTTCTAGCTCCAAGGCGGGCGTGGGCCCTGAACCCTGGAGTTTGCAGGGAGGTAGAGATGCTGACTATGGGGAAGCCAGGGGCTACTGGGGGTCAGGGGAGTGTCCAGGACAGATATCTGGAGGCAAGGACTTCCAGGAACCATCAATGTCAGGTGGCAGAAAATTCCTTTCGGGGAGTGGGAGTCCTGAGGCCAGTGCTGAGGACTCACTGCAGGAGGCAGGTGATCTACGCTGGGGGGAATCTGCAGTTAGGGGAAGGGGCTACAAAACCAGCCCCGGAGGCCCAGGAGACCCCAGGTCCTGGAAAGGTGGCTTACAGGATGCAGAAGGAAGGGCAGTTCCCAGCAGGGGAGGGGGCACGGGGAGAAAGGATGGCCAGGAGACAGCTAGGGCCTTGGGCGGCGCAGGGGAAGGCTCCAGAAGCCTCCAGTCCTCCCAGGGCTGGGCAGCAGGTCAGGGGGGAGAAGGGGAAGCCGGCAGACCAGAGTCTGAGAGCGCAAGTCCTTGGGATGACACGTGGTCCAGCCCCAGAAAAACTGGGGCCCACCATGGGCCAGGAGTGCTGGGGTCCAGGGGAGGGAAAGGGGGCCTGGGTGGTACCCAGGTGGCTGGGCTGATAGAGTCCGGTCAGGGGGCAGATGCCGGAAGCCACAGCCTAATTAGGTCTCCAGGCCTGGGTGCTCAGGGGCCTGGGGGCACTCTAGGAGGTACAGACGGATTAAAAGGTCTGGGGGTAATAGGGTCTGAACCAGATTTCTGGAATGGGCCAGAGAGCTCCAGAGTAAAAGGATGCAAAGGTGAGATGGGCCATGAGGATGGCTTAGGAGGCCCAGAGAGAATGGAATCTAGGCATGGGGGTGGCTCAGGACATCCTAGAGGAATAGGTCTTGAAAACAAGGCTGGTTACAGTGACGGCTCAGCGGTGCCTGGAGAGATGGGGTCTGGTCATGGTGCTGGTTGTAGAGTTGCCTCTGGGGTACCCGTGGGAACAGAGTCTGAGGCAGGGAGTGCTTCCAGGCATGGCTTGGGGGTGCCCAGGGGAATGTGGTCTGGTGACAGAGATGACTGTGGTCCTGCAGGAAAGGGGTCTGGGGGAGTTGCCAGTCTCAGGGGTGGCTCAGGGGGCCCTGATGGAGCACCCATGGATGAAGCCAGGAATCGGGACGCTTGCAGAGGACAGGGGGAAACAGGCCCTGGGGGAGGCCATCATTTGGATGGTGGCCCAGGGAGTCCTGGGACAGTGGGGTCTGTGGGTAGAGGTGGTCGCAAGGCCTCCAGAGCAGTGGAGACTGTTAGGGAGGGACATGTGGAAGCAGAACCAGGAGGCGCTGGAAGAACAAGGCCTTGGGGTCAGGCTGGAGATTATGAGGGCTTCAGAGGCTCAGAGGCCCTGGGGGCCTTCAGAGAAGGAGGCTATGAAGATGGCGCCGGGGGTCCAGGAGCCATGGACTCAGGGTCTCTGAGGAGAGGGGGAAAGGTGGGTGATGGGGATGGGACTGGGTACCTTGGTGCCAGGGCCTCTGGAGCTGGAATTGGTTATTGGGATGGTACCAGGCACCCTGAGGCACTAGCGCCTCACGCGGGGGCTGGTTCTGAGAGCCAGTGGGCCTGTGGGTCTGGCAGGGTGCTGGGATCTGCGGCTGGGTCAGAAATTCCAGAGGCTCAGGGAACTGGGGGCAGAACATCTTATGAAAGAGGGTCAAGGGGCCTTGGGCCTAGGAGAACAGGGCCAGGGGGTGCAGCAGGCTTTAGAGGTGGCTCTGGAGGAATGGGATCAGAAGATGGGGCAGGTTGGGGGAATGGCACTGGGGATTCTGGGGAAATGGGCTCAGTAGATAAGGCAGGTTATAGAGAAGGCTTAGGGGCTCCTGGGAGAAGGGGTTTAGGAAGCAAGGCAGACTATAGGGATGGTTTAGGGGGTTCTGGGGAAATGGGGTCAGCAGATGGATACATCTGGTTATAGGGAAGATTTGGGGGCTCCTGGGAGAAGGGGTTCAGGAAGCAAGGCAGACTATAGAGATGGTTTAGGGGGTTCTGGGAAAATGGGCTCAGTAGATAAGGCAGGTTACAGAGAAGGCTTAGGGGATCCGGGGGGAAAGGGTTTAGGAAGCAAGGCAGATTGTAGGGATGGTTTAGGGGGTTCTGGGGAAATGGGGTCAGTAGATACATCTGGTTATAGGGAAGATTTGGGGGCTCCTGGGAGAAGGTGTTCAGGAAGCAAGGGAGACTATAGGGATGGTTTAGGGGGTTCTGGGGAAATGGGGTCAGTGGATACAACTGGTTATAG